GAGCGCGGCGGAGGCGTCGCGGCTGCGCGTGCTGTGGCTGTCTCCGACGGACATCGTCGACGGGCGCGGAGCGACGGCCAACTTCCCTGCCCCGGACCGCACGGGCGAGAAGTGCGCCCCGCCACGCCAGACACTTCCTAGACACTTCCTAGACACTTCCTAGAAGTGCGCCCCACCACGCCACAGCTGCTGGAGGCGCCTGTAGAGCCTGAAGAGCGCTGCCGAGCCGTGCCGTCCGCGCAGGTACTACATCACGACGGCGATCAACTACGCGAACGGGCTGCCGCACATGGGCCACGCGTACGAGGGCGTCTGCGCCGACGTCATCGCTCGCTACCACCGCGCGTACGGCCGCGAGGCGCTTCCGAGACACTTCCCACAGACACTTCCGAGACACTTCCGAGACACTTCCCACAGACACTTCCCACCAGACACTTCCGAGGCACTTCCCAGACACTTCCTAGGCACTTCCCAGACACTTCCTAGTCACTTACTAGACACTTCCGAGGCGCTTCCCAGACACTTCCTAGGCACTTCCCAGACACTTCCTAGTCACTTACTAGACACTTCCGAGGCGCTTCCCAGACACTTCCCAGACACTTCCTAGTCACTTCCTTGACACTTCCTAGACACTTCCTAGACACGTCCTAGACACTTCCTAGACACTTCCTAGACACGTCCGAGGCACTTCCGAGGCACTTCTCAGACTTCCCAGGCACTCCGCTGGACACGTCCTAGACACGTCCTCGACACTCGCTAGAGGCTCCCTAGGCACCTCTCGCACCCTTCACCCAGACCGCCGTGGCGCAGGTCTTCTTCCTGACCGTCACTTCCTAGACACTTCCTAGACACGTCCTAGACACGTCCTGCGCAGGTCTTCTTCCTGACCGGTGCCGACGAGCACGGCCAAAAGATCAGCGACACGGCCGCTGCGCAGGGCGCCGAGCCTAGACACTTCCTAGACACTTCCTAGACACTTCCCAGACCCTTCCCAGACCCTTCCCAGACCCTTCCTAGACACCTTCCAGACACTTCCCAGACCCCTCCTAGACACTTCCTAGACCCTTCCCAGACCCTTCCCAGACCCTTCCCAGACCCTTCCTAGACACCTTCCAGACACTTCCCAGGCACCGGCCCTGCGCGGGAGCATCTTGGGCTATTCGGCAGGCGCCCTCGCGGCGTCTTCACACCCGCTCCGCTGTGAACTACAGGCATCCGGCCCATCGAGTTGTGCGACCGCGCCGTCGCCGGTAACCCCGCTTAACCGCCACCGCTTCTGACGGCAGTCTGCTCATTTTGCCCATGGATGCGCTGATCAGGTGTTCCCGCGCCCTCAGCGCCGAGGCATGAGCCAGCCGGTAGTTTCGCTGACTCGTGCATGCACCGGTCAGGCTTCCGCGCACTCAACGCCAAGTTGGGCGTCTCGAACGACTTTTACGTGCGCACAACTTCGCCTGCGCACAAGGCGCGGGGGGCCCCCACCGCTCCCGCTGCCGCTGCCCCGCCGATTGTTGCACGCGTTTCTGCGGTGGCGCCTTTCCCTGAGAACGCACACACCGCCTCGTGTGCAATGCCCCCGTGTGCGCTCCGCGAGTGCGTGTTCCCCGTCGTCCGTGCTAGGGACGTGTGTGTACCACTGACTGACAACCTCGCCCGCCCACAAGGCGGCCTGCCAGGCGCTGTGGCGGCGGGCGGTCGAGAGCGGCGACGTGTACCTCGGGTGGCGGAGAGGGGAGGCGCGGCGGCACGAGGCGTGAACCGCGTCGGCTCACAATTGCAGCTGTGGACAGGTCGCACGAGGGGAGTGTGTCGGAGGTGTCTAGGAGGTGTCTAGGAAGTGTCCAGCTGTGGACAGGTCGTACGAGGGGTGGTACAATGTGCGCGAGGAGACGTTTGTCACCGAGACCGAGGCGCAGGCGTCCGAGTACAAGGACCCCGCCTCGGGCGTGCCGCTGCGGAAGATGCCTCGACATTTCGTGGACACTTCCTCGACACTTCCTAGGACCCCGTCTCGGGCGTGCCGCTGCAGAAGATGCAGGAGTCGCCCTTCACGTTCAATATGACCGATTGATTAATTAGTATTCATCAATTGATTTATTAATTAGCAGGAGTCGTCCTACATGTTCAAGATGGCCAAGTACCACGAGCAGGTCGAGAAGGCTAGACTAGCTAATAACTAGTTCAGTACCACGGGCAGGTGGAGGAGGCTAGACCTCGGCTACGCCTCGGCTAGACCGCAGGCTACACTTCGGCTGCACTTCGGCTGCATCTCGGCTGCACCTCGGCTGCACCTCGGCTGTATCTCGGCTGCATCTCGGCTGCATCTCGGCTGCATCTCGCCGGCGACGCATTCGGCTGAGGCGACATCCGGTCGCACATCCCGGTCGCACACAAGTGGTTGCAGTGGCCGTTGCGGCGATGAGTCAGGTCGGGGACTGTCGGGTACTCTCGGTTCCTCTCGGTTCCTCTCGGCCCACCTCGGTGACCGTCGAAGCGACGAGTCAGGTCGAGGCCCACATCCGGTCCCACCCCGAGTTCATCCAGCCCGAGAGTCGGCGGAACGAGATCCTCGACCGGCTCAAGGCGAGATTACCCGAGATTACCCGAGATTACCCGAGATTACCCGAGATTACCCGAGATTACCCGAGATCCTCGACCGGCTCAAGGCGCCGCTGCCGAGAAAGCGGCTCCACCAATGGGCGTGCGTGTTGGCTCACTCACGGGACGCTCGACTTGCTCCAGGAGCCGCTGCGCGACCTCTCCGTCTCGCGCGCCACGTTCACATGGGGCATCCCTGTGCCGGGCGACGAGAAGCACGTGATGTACGTCTGGTTCGACGCGCTGACAAACTACCTGTCTGGGAT